GCTGAATCGCAATAAAATCGACCCATTTCTGCAGCGGATGGTGACTGGTGATGAAAAGTGAGTCACTTACGACAACGTCAAGCGAAAACGGTCGTGGTGGAAACGCGGTGAGCCGGCGCAAACGGTGGCCAAGCCAGGATTGACGGTCAGGAAGGCTTTGCTGTGTGTTTGGTGGGATTGGCAGGAAATCATCCACTATGAGCTGCTCCCCTACGGCCAAACTCTTAATTCGGACCTGTACTGTCAACAATTGGACCGTCTGAAGGAATCAATCGCCCAGAAGCGGCCAGCTTTGGCCAATAGAAGAGGAATTGTGTTCCATCAGGACAACGCCAGGCCACACACATCGATAGTAACTCGCCAGAAGCTCCTGCAGCTTGGTTGGGAGGTTCTTATGCATCCACCTTATAGTCCGGACCTGGCACCAAGTGATTACCACCTGTTCCTGTCTATGGCGAATGATTTTGCTGGTGAAAAATTCGCCTCAAGAGAAGCTTGTGAAAATCGACCCAGTGAAAACTGTCCCAGTTTTTTGTCAATAGGGACAAGGGTTTCTATGAGAGAGCCATAATGGAATTATTCAAAATGGCAACAAGTTATCGAACAAAACGGTGCATATTTGACCTAAATCGGATCATTCTAAATAAAGCTATGCTAAATAAAGCCTTCAATTTCAATTTCAAGCTATGCTAAATAAAGCCTTCAATTTCATGCAAAAATAATGGATTTCTTTTTACTACACCTTATATTATAGTTTCGTGATCGTACTACCGTTTTTATGTCATCACGTAATCCTATCTGATAATTTTGGAGAGCCTGTGCTTGAATCGTTTCCAGTATTGTTCGTTTTTGGTCGTTTGTATGTTTTCGTTCGTCCACTAGCGTCTGATAAAGTTGCATCGCGAGTTTGTCAACTCGCGTGCCATATGCTTGTGCGCTTTCTCCTGTTTGTTGCTTCAGCGTATTGAAATCTAATTGTAATTGCGTTATACTCTTCTGCGTCGAATAGCAAATTTCTAGTTCTCGTTTTAATTGCTCAAAGTTCTGGATATCACGGGTGTCAAAATCGATCATGGCTTTTCCCTTTAGTTTAGTGCATAATATGGCCTCTAACAATGCGGGTTCATCCGCGGGATTTATATTATTTACGGCATAAGAGCTCGCGTTTAAAAATTCTTGTAATCTATTTTGCGAGGAGCCATTTAACTCCGGTATTAAATTTCTACCTTCCTTAAGCTATAAGTAGTTGTTCGTACGCGAGTGTCGGTTTCGCACGTCGTTCGCTGTCCGTCCGTACGTAATGTCCATATTGACCGGTCTCGCGTTAGTGTGCCTATCCATAGTAAGAGCATTCATTTGCTCGGTTATGTGACAGATCTGATGCCGCATTTGATGAATTATTTCGAGTAGTAACTCGTCGCGGCTGGGTCCGATGAGTCCATCTGACTCGGCGGGGGCGCGATGTCTCGTGCCTGTTCGTTAATTTGACGTGATTCGCGAGGTTCCTAAACCGCACTCTGTTCGCATTCTTTCTATCTCTCTATCAATTTCGTCACTTCCGATGGCGTGCGTTTCCCGGCTACGTGAATTGCTCATTTTTAATTCGTTATCGGGTTCTGCCGGATCGAATACGGAACTATCGTACAAAGTGAGTGAAAATTCGCCTCTGTCAGACACGTTACTTAAAGTGCTAGAAGAGGGCAACCATGCGCATCTAGAACGTACGTTAATGTTTTCATCCGCGGGGCGTACCCGAGGTAATAAACTTTCGTCTAGCTCACCGAATTCAAATTCGCGCTCGACTGTTATAAATGCAAACGGCTCGGTTTCGTCTCGCTGGTCTACCGTATGACTCCCGCTTTGTCGTATTAGTTGTCTGGCGTCGTCTATCAGACAGACCAGATCGTAATCGCCTTAGTGTTCTAGCCGCAGGCTTGCTATGGAGCCAAGTTCGGTTCCTAATCAGTACGCGAGGGACGTTGCTCCCTTCCGACATTCATAAATAGGCGCACGAGGTCACAACTGAATAATAGTGGTTTTCTGACTTACATTACAATCGTGAAGCGCATGATGACTTTTGTCTCGTCGCAGTTTTCTGCAGCCTATCGTGTGTCGGGCGTTGTCCGAGGTTGACGTTGCTCAACAAGGCTGTTTCTGCTCCCCGTAGTTCGCTACGTTGCACGATGGTTAGGGCAGGTCGGCTCAACAGCTGATGCTTTGTAGGGTCCGATATCGCTTACGTCAGGTGATAACGGTCGTAGCTCCGACGGCCGTCCTTTATCCCGCAGTAGCGCTAGCTCTCTCTGGCTCCGGTCCCACAGTGTTGTTGGTAGTACTTCCTTCTAGGCGTAGGTTTTTAGGCTTGTCTCTGTTTTTCTTTATGGTCCCAGTTTTCTGTCTTGGAGCGCTCGCAATAACTTTTTGAGCTCTCTCGGTCGTGTAACGTCTCGCCCTTTCTTAAGATAGCCGGTAGCGTTTATCAGTGGATGTATCTCCGACGTCCAC